CGACATTTATCCAGCAACTGGAAGGCTTCTGTTCTTGGAAATGTTTGTAACTCACTATCCCCCACACCCACCACCAGATTGCTCCTCTCTCCTGCCCGCTGGTTTTCCTAACTGGGTTTTAGAACAGGTTACAGTGGTGGTTGCTATAAAATGTTCTTTAACCTATGAGGCTGCATTGAACAGATTAATATTTAGAACTACTTCAATTTTAATCTTACCTCCTGGTTTTTCCCTGTAATTGTCAGTGTTGCCTTAAGAATTTTTATATCTTTCCATCTGGATCTCTCATTCAAACCAATTCATGGACCAACCTCCACACAGATGACACTCTGGTCTACCTGACACAGACCAGAGTCGTGGCCTTTCTGAGTTGTGACTCCTAACGTCTTTGTTAAGAATGTGGGCTTGATGGCAGACCACCTCGTTGGAATCTTGCCTTTGCCACTTGCTAGCATTTTGATCTTGGGAAAGTTACTTAATCCCCCCTGCATTCCTTTGTGACACCTACTACCCAATTGGTTGGTGAAAATTAAATCTGCTAATTTGTGTTAAATGCTTAGCATAGTTTCTAGCACATAGTAACAGTCAGTAAATGGTTATTGGTGTCAGTATTGCTGTGCATAGGAGAGATGAATTGGGGAGGGACAAATAGATAGAGGAGTGACCAGAATGTTGGAAATGAAGTAAGGCCCACATTGTCTTTTTTCTCAACAGGAAGCCGTTTTACTAAGGGCACCCTAGGATCACTACAATAAATACATGCAATCATGCCAATGGATCCCAAAGAAAACCATAATAGATATTATTAAGATTCCTTATGAGCGAGACAATAGGAACACAGTGATTTAGTATGGCCATTTCTGATAGGGCAGATGGACACCATAAGTGAGATGTACAGGCAAAGTTCCCTGGCTGTGACCAAGGTCCAGTCCTAGCTTTATCCTTTAAGAATCTGTAAGGAAGTTGAACAGGTGCATACAGTTCATATGTATCCTCAGTTGCAGAAAAACAAAAAAACAAACAAAAACCCTCTAAAGCCTTTTCCGTGATTTAGGTGCCTGTGGAGCAAGTGAAGGTGGTTGGGATGAAGAATGTGTTGGAAGTAGGGGTAGGGATTGGGCCTTTCATACCTACGTGAAGGAGATTTGCATAACATTGAAAGGCAAGTAGATGTGGTCCATGAGTAACTCTAGGACATGCTTGTGTCCATACAAATGGCTAACAGCGTGTACTTTGGTGGAGTCATCTTGATGGCTCTCACCTCCTTTCTCCAGTCGCTGTCAGTCGGCATCTACTGGATGCCAGTGAGTTGGTTCGTTGAGTTTGAATGGATGCCCCTAAAGCTTAATCTAAGAGCAATAGGTGATAAAAGGTGGCAAGGGGAATCAGATAATTAGAGGAAATTGAAGAGGGAGGGATGCCAATAATTTTATAGATAAGTAGCATGCAAATATAACTTTGAAAAAATATAACTTCCTTCCTACTCATTAGGAATTAAAAATAGCACCATGAGCCTGTAATGAAAACGTCCCCTCCTAAGGGGCCTTAGCAGACATGGTTACTCGTTGGGCTGCTAACCTCAAGGTCAGCAGTTCAAAACCACCACCCACTCTGCAGAAGAAAGACGTCCTACTCCTGTAAAGCATTGTGGTCTCAGAAACCCACCAGGACTGTTCTACCCTGCCCTAATAGGGTCACCAGGAGTCAGAATCGCCTCAGTGGCAGTGAGAGCGAGTTAAGGAGTCTCGGAGCTTAGGACAATTCTTGTCATGATTTGAAGACAAGAGCAAATCACTGCCTGCGCTCACCCCCACCTATGTCCCCCAGAAGACTATTTAAAGGTGTTTTGTTGTTAGCCACCTTTTCTTACCTATTGCTCATGGATTAAGTTTTAGTTGTATCTATGTCAGACTCAAAAAATCAAACTGCCATCTAGTAGATGCCGACTCACAGCGCCTGGAGAAAGGAGAGGAGCGTTACCAAGACCCAGCTGCTAAAAGGCAGGGCCGTGGAAACACTGCGGTGCAGCTCTAGTCTGCACAGGTGTGGTCGCCGTGACCCCTGAACCGGCCGGGCATCAGCCACCACCAACGGCTCTTGGTTTCCTCATCTGTAACCCAGATCCGGTTGTATTTATAACACAGAGCTATGGGGAAGAGAAGAGAATAACGTAACACTTAAGGTAGCATCTGGCACACGGTAAGCCCTTAGTATGATCTTCCAGAAGCAAGGCTGGGTTCAAAGTATTCCATGTGATGTGTGTCCTTTGGATCTCTCGGAACCTGGCCTGAATGCGGATGAACAAATTTGGGGATCTTCGATAGATCAGGCAGGTGTTCAGTCTCCAAGTCAGTTAGACCCAGGGCTCATGAATGAGCCAAAATCATAAGCAGCATTAAGTGTGCAAGTTGGAAGATCTGTGCATGTTTCTGGAGGAAATGATGCATAACTTTCCCCAGTTTTCTGAGAGATATGTGACCGTCAAAAAAGACGGAGAATCTCTGCCCTATAGGAAATAGGGTAATCTGCTCCCCCACACCCCACACGGGGTCTTCTTACAAGATAAATAATTAAAGCTCCAGAGAAAGTATTTTATGAACATAGCCCTTTACTGGAGAGTAGGTGCATTTATTTTTATTTTTAAGGGGCTCAATCTTATATAGTCTGGGTTTTTATAAATTTACTCTGTAACACAAAATTTAAATGTCGTAGTAGGTCTCAAAGGAATGTCTTTCCTTCAGAATCAAAACACACCCAATGGCTTTCAGCGTTGTTTGTCTCCAGCTGATGTTCATTCCAGCCATTGACCAGTGTATTAATTCTTAGCTGTGCTATGTTACTTTTATGATTGTTCTTCTTAATGGCCTCTTACTCCTCACCTGCATCTTCTCTGGTTCTTTCCTGGAGTGGTGCCGACAGTGATGTTTTTATGATTGCAGTAATTGCTTTGGGGGATAATTTGAATCTTCCGTGTGGACATCTGCATGTTACCGCTTCATCTCGGAACCAGGCTTCTGTGGGCTGTCAGAATTTCCCTCACCAAGGCCATAATAGTGCTGGTGTTTTCTCTTCTGGGATCTGCGATTTTAAGCTAACTGCCTCATAAAATCCCTCCTATGATATCAAATGTAAATGACCAATTTCTCAGTACAGACTTTTTACTTCAGAGTGGTCGGTTTGGGTTTTATGTTTTGCAGAGGGGTGGATGGGGGGGGGGGGTTGGGTGGGGAGTGTTTCGTTTTTCTAGCTTCCTGGAAAACGTGTGTTAAATATCTTTAAGATTTAAAGGGTTGTGGTAATCATGACCTCGTGTATATTTTCCATGTATTTTCTAATTTCAGCTCCACTTTTGTTGTCCTCTTGATCCGATGATTAGCTGACCTTTCCCTGTAATTGGTTCAGTGTTTGCCTTAAAAAAAAATTTTTTTTCTGAAATCATGGAATTGGTGGGTTTGAAAGAACCTTTACCTGCAGTGAAATTACTAATCTAAATCAGAATTAAGTTACATTCATTATTTTGGCTCTGTTACCTGAAGTGGACCTGATATAAAAGCAATAAAAAAGAACTCTCCAACTCTAATCAGTGTTGTTAATTTTTATAAACTAAAAATTCCCTCAGAAATACTACTGTATCTGGATCAGAACCTCCAGAATTGTTTAATGGCACTCTGTTTATGATTGGATGGTCAATGCAGCTATCATGGGTCTTCTCTAGCTCAGCAAAGATTTAGAAGGATTTATTAGGAACTTCTATGAGCAATGTTGTGCAATAAATACAGCCCTATCTTAATGTTGGAAAATTTAGTTGGTTTTTTAAGAAATTCTTATTTCCGAGTAGTGCCTGCCACTGTTTTCCTTCATCGTAATCCCCCTGCAGTGTGTTGTTAATTAGCTCTAAACAAGCTTAGTTGTAAATGCCACCCCGGAGCCTGTAATGGAATCCTGTGACAAAGAGAGGAATCCTTGTACACACATGGTACAGATGTGACGGAGCCATGTACGGTTTTGTTTCTGCACAGCACAGGACAGAGCCACTAGACGTGAGTGGCCTGGTGGAAGCTATCGTTTAAATCCTTCTGTTAAGAGTTCGGCGACCACTTGCATATGTCAGTGATGAAAAATAATCAACATAAGCATCTTTGAAAAGCAATTTTAGGTCATTAAAGATGCATGAATTTTGACAAAGCAAGAAGATTTGAGGCTTATGAAGAATATATTAGGGCTCTCCATTGAGTGAAGGGGGAGAGAGATGAGGTCTCTGCTTAGGAGGAAAGGTGTAGCCTAATTGTAGCCTCATGAAAGATTAAATGGGCAGTGGCAAGTCCAGGAAGAACTCGGTCTTAATCCTGACTTTCCCCAAAGGCTTTTGTGAGAAACGGAGCCTAACCTAGCATGAATCCGGCAAAGAAACGTGGTCTCAGAACCCTGCCTGTTTCCCAGCGTCCCGCACATGTGATACACCCTTGACCATGGGACAGGTTTTCAGGGCTGTGGGTGATCATTTTCCACATGACTTGAGACTTTTTCAGAACACATTTGCTCAAGGAGGCTCCATGTCTCTGTTTGCTCTCTCCTCTTTTATTATTTATTAACTATTTAAAATTTGGTCATTTGTGGCTCCTCTCAGAGTTGGACCTTTCCAAAAGAAAACGCTTTAGTGATAAAGAATGGATTCCGTCTGTTCTCCTTAGCTGTCACAATGTAATCTTGAAGTGTGTAGGGGAGAGGACAGTCCAGCTAACCTGCGCAAGGCAGTGCTGGCAGCAGCTAAGCCCAGTTCCCTGACAAATGCAAAGCCCGCCCTGGAATCGCGACTGCGTTTGCTGAAACGAGACTGTCTGACAGTTTTTAGAAGAGACGAGGTGCTTCTCTGTCGTGTGATGTGAGTCTTATGTCAGCTGCAGCTACTCAATTTGCATGTAAATTCTGAAAATTTTCTTGTCCCATGTGACACTTCTGAAATGTCTGTCTGTTCTTTTTTTCCTTTTTAATTTCTCAAGCTCACTATTTGGATAAGATAGTTAAAGGTACTGTATACTTGCTCTTTGTTGACATCTACCTATATACTTATATATCGATATTTAACTGTGTATTAGACTGCACTAGGTATGAAAATGTTTTTCCTGCATATTTCTGTAAATTATGAATCAGGCTTACGTTATGTGACATTCCTTGGATTTAAATGACTGACACTTAAGTTGTCTGTGTCTCATTTTGTATAATTTTGGATTACCATAGATTTTATCCCTATGTAAAAGCACTCGTTTTTCACTGGAATCCAAAACTGAAGATAACAGTGCATTTGCTGTTTTTGGTGTTTTGTTTTGATGTATTTTTAACTTTAATATCTCAATGTTGGTACTTTAGCTTAATTAGTCTTAAATTCTAAATTAATGAATCACAAATGTTCACTCTCTTATCACAGAATAAGAAATTGTCGCTCTAAAGGCGATTCTGATCAGCTTATGTTGAGGGAAATTTCATTTATCCTCAGATGTAACCAATTCGGCTCTCTCTAAATGTTCCAAAGTGCATGTGCCATCACGAGTTATGTTTGGGTTTTCCTTTTTCTTTTTTTCAAGCTGCAAACGATTGTGCATTATAATAACAAAAAGATGGCAGCGTTCACCAGAAAACAGCAGATTCGCATGTCTTCAGTTACTGTAGAAATAGGTGGATAGTTTTGTTGTTGTTTTTTTTCAAGAGAAAGTTCCCTTTCCCTCTCTCCTCAGAGTACTTATTTTCTATTCCTTGTTTGTGCTTTTCATTAGAATATGGAAATATTCATGGCAATATCCAGGCTTTCATACAATAACTCTTGTGAGCATGCAGGCAGCTGCTGCACCTCTTTGTCAGTGGGGCAATTAAATCTCTTTTTCCCCCCCTCAAAAATGAAAATAATTTTTTTTTAAATCCACCTCCAAAAGGAAAATTCTCCTTTTTGTGTGTCAAATAATCTGTAACTGTAGCTGGTAATTGTCTGGAAGAAAGGCAGCAGCAACCTTAATCTCATCCTGCCCTGATGGTGGCCTTCAATGCAGCCTCCTTCCACCTTGCCACGAGAGACTGTCAACAGCCCTCTTTCTGTTCGCTCCAATCTGAAGAGACAGGGTGTCTCTCTGAGAGCTGTGCTCTGCGAGCTCCTTAGTGCAGGAGGGGAAGCCAATATATGAATAATTCTTTTAAGGAAGACTTAAAGGAAACATCTCCAAACTGATTGCTCCCTTAAAATTTGTCACCGTAACAAAAGCAGCACTCTAATGACAAGAAGCTCTAGAATAAACCCCGATTGCTATAGCAAGATTTGTACATGACTATCTATTTTATCCCACCTTCTGACTGACTCGGTGTCCAAAGAGCTCTGATTCCTAGCCAACGACTCGTAGGGTTTTCATGCATTTATTTCCTTGCTTCCATCAGTGTCTTCCCGCCCTCATAGGTGAGAACCCCAAACCTCCCCAAGTGTCGTCCTCATAAACCAACCACATGTTGGCCGCATGCCAGATATCATCCAGTAGGAAGTGGCAAAACTGGTTTTCTTTTTCTTTCTTTTTTAAAACATTTTTAAATGTCATATTAGACTGAAACAACTATAGATTTTGGATATATGAAATTATTTTAATTGTTTCCCAAATCTTCCCTCCTTGCCCATAAAAGCAGACAAGATAGGATATAAAGGTAACAGCATAAAAGCCTTAGGGAGATTGTCACAAAAAATCACTCTTTGCTATCTGTCTTGAAGCACGTCACTACCGTGTTTTTGTTCAGTCTCTCAATGTTCTATTGTGGTCCTTATGGTATTTCATTTTGTCCGTCCTGAGTAATCAGATATGCACAGCTACTACATTTAGTTGGAAATCCTGTCGGTCCTGTCCCATCCGTATGCAGCCTGAATCCTAATGTTTGTTAGAATAGATGCTAAGCTGCTTCACTATTTCCTGGGCTTTGCTTATTCTGTGAAAAGGAATGTACTCTTGGCATGAAGTATAGTCATTAATACTGGCCTATACTTTGTGCAACTATTTAATGCACTGTAATTTCACATGAATATACGGCAACTCTGAGGCCAGATAAAATTAATGTTCTCTTTTTAGCATCATTCATATCCACATACCCACTTCCATGCTCTTGACTATAGAGGGAATTTTTTAAAGCAACAAGGTCTTTTTTGTAGTAGACTTGGCCTACTAAGCGATCAGTAATGTTGTACAGCAGAATTGAAATCTTCATCAGGGATTCCGAAATTATTGTGTTAAAGATGAATTTCCACACCACATAATCAACCTTGTTGCTTTGCTAATGGAAAAAATTTAAGTTAATTTTGTCTGGCCTGAACCTATTTAGTGGGCTGTTGCATCGATTTCTGTCCTGCACAGGTAAGTGGTGTCTCAAGGGTCAGGCCAATCAAAGATGCCACTTGGATAAGAATTAGATTCCTTAGAGAAGGTTGCTGTTTCTATTTATGTGCAATTACAGTATTTGTGCTGTTTAAAAAGGCCTGTTCCCAGTAAGTCTCCCTTATTTGTTTATTTTTGGTGCCAGAAAAAAAAGCAAAAACAAACTTTCCATACTCAAATCACTTGTGTTTTCCTTCTTTGTCTCTTTTGACAGAGGGCTGCCCTGGTCTGTGCAATAGCAATGGAAGGTGTACCCTGGACCAAAACGGCTGGCATTGTGTTTGCCAGCCAGGCTGGAGAGGAGCAGGATGTGATGTGGCCATGGAGACCCTCTGCACAGATAGCAAGGACAATGAAGGAGGTAGGAAATCCTGGGCATGAAAACAAGTGTGTGCGAGAGGCCAGCTGCTGAGTTTCAGTGAGTACGGAGTTGTCCACTGCCAAGGACAATCTGGGCCCGATAGGTCAGGTTGATCGAAAAATAGGGGAGCTGATAGAATAAACTTGCTCCCAATTTTTCCGGAAACAAATACAAGATGATTATTATTCAGGGGAAAAACTAGGGGCCCAAACTTCTGTGTCCATTTTTCTTCATTTTTTCCCATAGTCTGCAGGGGACCTTCTCCCCAACTATGGTGTTTAGGGCTATGTAGACTGGGAACGCTAAATGTTCTTGTAATAACTGATTGAGCGCTCCATTGGTGAAGAAATCAGATGGGGCCCAGCAACCAGAAAGAATGGTGTCTGGGTTCTCAAATGCTTGTCTTCAAACAAGCAACTATGTAAGTGAGGCATCAGCTGAGTCCACACAGAAGAAGCACACCAGCCTGTGCGATCCAAGGATCAAAAAGAATTAAATCCAAGACTGGAGGAGGAGCCAGTATTAGAGCATAAATTCTGAGCATTCTGTTTGCAGAGGATCATAGATGATAGTGAAAGCCCAAAATCTATTTGCTGGGTCTCCACTTGCATTACGCCTCCAGAGAATTCCCTCTGATGGTTGACCCAGGGATATGAATAGCCCTTGCTATCAGACAGTGCATTGAAAATTGGATTAATGCAGATGTCGTTAGGTTAAAATCTAAACTCCTTATCGTTTGTTCTCCATTTTGACCCATTTTAAATTTGTTCCAGTTTCGGTTGTTTTCTGTTTCAACCAAGGATTTGCTGTTTTATTTTGCGATTATTGTTGGGTGTTTTTGCTTTTTGTGTGTATTTCTTTATATGAAGTCCAGGAGAGGTGAATTTGTAGAGACAGTCACTGAATTAATGGTTTCTTGGGATTACGGCGGGGGAGTTGGGTATGGGGAACAGAGCGCTAATAGTCACCAGTGCAAGAAAGAAGGCTGTGCTGCGGTCGATGGGGGTGGGCATTGCACCGCTCTTTTCGATCTGCTTACACTGTTGAATCGTAGGCTTTGTGGATTACACGTCAATAAAAGTGTTGACATTTTAAAATTTAACATTCCAAAAGATGCTAGACTTTTTCCAGGCATCTGTGTTGAAGAGCATAAATGAAAACAAAGCCGGCAGCAGTCTCTGGGAACCTTCAGCCCCAGCGTCTTCTCCGTCTGAGGAAATGATCGTGCCGCCCCACCCAATTGAAAGCTCTTATTTAATCGCTGTTGCTCTCGTTTCGTGTATATTTTCATTTCAGAGACTATAAAGTTAGCGTTGGTCGTTATTGCCCGCGGTTCCCTTTTGCCATACCTTTACCGCCAAGCTTTCAGAAGGGCCTGGTGCCCACCTGGCCATGATGTGCCCCCTCTCACGCCTGCATCCTCCCACCAGCGGTCTTGGGAAAGCTCGTGCGAGCCAGGCCCTGTGCGTGAGGAATGCAGGTTGGGAGTCAGACTGATCATCACTCGACTGCGTAGTCATGGTTCGACCTTAGGCAAGACTCTCTTCATCTCTTTAGACCACTGTCACCTAGTGAAAGAGGTTCTGAAAGGGTCAGGGAGAAAAGGCATCCAGCAGAGCCTGCTGCCAGGCATTGAACATGCTGGACGTGGGAGCTGGAACGTGTGTGTGTGTGTGTGTGTATGGTTAATGGGGCTTGCTGCTCTGAAAGGTGCAAGTCCACTCAGAGGCATCTTGAAGGGAAAGGCTTGAGTGTGTGTGTGTGTGTGTGTGTGTGTGTGTGTGTGTGTGTGTGTAGTTAATGAGGCTTGCTGCTCAGAGAGGTACAAGTCCACTCAAGCATCTTGGGGGAAAGGCCTGAGTGTGTGTGTGTGTGTGTGTGTGTGGTTCATGGGGCTTGCTGCTCAGAGAGGTGCAAGTCCACTCAGAGGCATACTGTGGGAAAGGCCTGAAAGGCGGCTGAAGAATTCACCTTGCAAACCCTGTGCAGCCCAGTTCTGCTCCGACCGGGGTCACCATGAGTCAGAACTGACCCAATGACACTGGTTTTACTGGAATAAGAGGCAGCTCTTTGTACCCAGTTTGCCTTTGAAAAGTGTCTGCCTTCAGTTAATGAATGCGTAGAAGATTGGCGGCGAAGATTGGACAGCCTTCTCCTAGCTACATCTTCTGGCCTCTCCGAAGCAGAGGTACCAAAATTGCACCCCACATTGCAGCCTTGGCCTGCCATCTTCTCCCACCCAAGCTTCGGAGTCTCATCGCCCTGGCAGGAAACTGCAACTCTCCCTTGTCCTTTCTGGCCAACTGTGTGCTGCTTTTCCTACTTCCTTTCAAGTCCAACTCTTACAAGAACTCGAGCCACAAATTCTGGACTAAAATCTCCTTTTCTTTCTGCTCCTGATAGATTTAGGAGCCCTCAGCTCTCCAAGTACCTGGCTGCCCGTCCCCGTCACACCGCGTGCTTTGTAGAAATGGCAGCAGCCATCCTCTCTGAACTCCAGCCCAGATGGTAACTTTCCTTATGACTTTCCCCCGAGAAACCCCAAGCCATTGTTTTCTATTACCAAGAGAGGAAGGGGGGCCTCTCTTCTTCCTCGATCATGGATTTTAGATTTTTGTCTTCCGAAAGATTACAGGAAGGAGGCTACACACTCTCTCCCAGGGAAAGGAACCGCAGAGCCCAGTCTGCAGAGATGCTGCAGAATAATTTAGGGGCTAATCAACTCTTTAGTGTTGTTATCAGCTAAGGAGGTTTTCCCTCTCCTCAAAATTTATCAGCTGTGAATTGGCCTCATTCCCCCCTTTGTTTATTCTTATTAGCATGAAACTCTGCTATCTCTAGGCTCCCCTCTCCAAGGGGAAATCTGAGCTGCTAGTGCACCTCCTGTGGAGTCTCTACTTATCTCGCATAATTTGTATTCTTGTCCCTAACCTAATTTTGTTGATCTTCTAAGAAGGAATTTCAGTGCCCGCCTGATTATGCTCTGGGAGTCTCACCTGGCTGCCTTATGGCCTACACTAGAGGGTTCTCCGAATGGAAGTATGTCCTATGTATATAAAGTCAGGATTTTCCAAAACAATCCTCAAATTAAGCATCTGGGGCACTCAAGGATATAATTATTTGAGGAAAACAGAAAATTGAAATTAAGAAATCCATCCGAAAGTTTAGGACACATAGAGACAGTGGCAATAGACAACCAGAAAATGGCCCTCACTGGCAGGAGGTCAATTCAGCCTCAGAGCCACTTCCCAGGATGGGGCAGAACTGTCCCTGTGGATTTCCAAGACTGACTCTTGGCGGGAGTAGCAAGCCGCATCTTTCTCCTTAGGAGTGGCTGGTGAGTTGGGACTGGTGCCTTTGCAGTTGGCAGCTCAACCCGGAACCATTGCGCCACCAATTCATCAGATGAAATGAGGCCTTCGGGCGAAGGAACCCTGAATGCGGACAGTGAGGCTGGTTTGACTGGGCAGGCACTCCTCCCTGGGGTAGGAACCAGATCCATCCAGACTGTGGCTTCCGTCTTTGAGTAGATGAGTCAGAACAGGTGCTTAGAGTGCAAGAAAAGGCCGTTGCCATTATTGAAAAGTTGCGTGGACGGCCCAAGTTAAGGTGGTTTTGGTGAAAAATGAAGCTGGCTCATTCCTTTCAGAGTGAAGGCAAATTGACCTAGTGACAAAGGGCAAGGAGGGGTTTTATGTAAGTAGGATTTCTTAAACCCGTATTTGTTTGGAGTTGGGAACCAACGGAGCAGATCACAATCTCTATAAAAGAGAAAAAGTTACCATTCCAAAGACTGAAGAAGAGACACCAAGCTTGTTAGAAAGGACAGTCACATATGAAAATATACAGTTTCTTAGATCAACCATCTCGTTGTCATTCACACGCCCCCGCCCCCTCACCCCCAAAGCATACTTTCTTTTACCAAATCAGTTCACCCACCACAACCATGAAACCTGAAGATCAACATCCAGATCTCACTCATTTGGAATCTTGACTTGCCTACGGGTCACCTCCTCCTTCCTCTCTCTCTGAAAGACTGAAGAAAGAGCAGCCTTAGAAGGGAATCCTTTGTAAGGAATTGGAGGAATCGACTACTAATGAGTAAGATGAAAGGAAATTATTTTTAACTACCCTCTTACTACCTACACATTTAAAGGATGTAACTCTCCTGTCCAAATCTCCTTGCTTCCTTAAAGTTCAAGCAAACAGCTTTGGGCACAGCCATTTATAGCTAGAGTAGTAAGAGCATTATTAAAGCCCTGACGAAGATGTGCACCCTTTGTGCAATCAACAGGTTGCTTCCAGGTACAAACTGCAGCTGCTGGAGCTGCTCATGAACTTGACACAGGCAGGTATGGAGTAGTAGACTTGTTAAATCACAAAGAGGAATCAGAATCAAATGTTCCTTCCATCAAAGGATCGGGGGCGACATCTCCAAGCCAGGAGGTAGGGCTTGCCACTGAGCGAGCAGCTGCAAGGAGACCGGTCCTCGTTGGGAACCATTTGAGAGCAGATGACCAACAAGACATGGCTAGACTAGAGTGCTAAATACGTCTTTTCAGCTCCCATGTCACCTAAAGAGTCAACCGCCTCGGTTGTTACTCAGTACCATCGTGTTGGTACCGACCTCTGAACAGCAGAACTAAACATTGCGCGCCGTGCATCATTCTTGCCCTTGTGCTTCTGTCGAAGGGCCTTGTTGCAGCCACTGTGTCCATCAATCTTGGTCACGGACCCTCTTCTTTTTAGCTGCCCCTCTACTTTCTCAAGCAGGACGTCCTTCTCTGGGGACTGGTCTCTCCGAAAACATACCCAAAGTATGGGAGCTGAAGTCTCGCCGCCGTCCCTGCCTCTAAAGAAATTATTTTTAGCCATTCCTTCTGGCCTTGCTTCTTCCGAAACAGATGTGTTTGTTCTCTTGGCAGTCCATGGTATTTTCATTATTCTTCACCAGCACCACAACTCAAGTGCATCAAATCCTCAGTCTTCCTTATTCAGAG